AGTGATGGTTAGCTTAACCGTTTCCCTAGTTTTCTCTGTTGCTCCTTTACTGCTGTTGCTCCTGAGCCCATGTGACTGACTGCATCCTCCGCCTCGATTCCCAGCGGTAGCACAGGTTAAAGGTGACACCAGGGGCTGTGGGGAAATGGATGGATACTCAGCATGAACCTTAGAATCGCCTATTAATAGAGAGAGATAGACATTTACAAACTGGAGTTAAATTGTTCTTTAACAGCTTTCATTTCAACGCTTGCTGAAAGCTCAGCGCTCCCCATGCTTTGTTTCAAAAAAGCTAGCTTTTTACACTGCTGTTACAAATAGTACTCAGTGATCACAGAGTGGATTGCTTTTCAGAGTGCTGTGTAAAATTGCAACTCAGCCATTCAGTTATAAACTTACTTTGGATGTGCCATATATTATTAAACTCATAAATACTCGTTTCCAACACTATTTATACAGTATATGTAATATATTTGTTTTTCGATTCTTTATAACATTTTTCCAATAATCAAAGTTAAAATATTTCAAAATTTAAAAATTGTAGTTGTCGAAATCGTTTGTGTTATATCTGAATATCTTTTGCTCAGCTGGTGTGCAATACAATATGTAGGCAACCTAGTATGGTGCTTAAGAAAGACGCAGTGTTGGGGGCCTTTCATTATCCACTCCTCATTTCAATACCCACGTGTGGGGGGCTGCCCAGTAGTAGTTGCCTGCAGCTAGGCACCCATATGACCTCGACACTTGGGACCTCTATAAAATTCCTTGCTAATTACATTTAGCAAACGCATCAGGTCTGGCGTTAAGAGGGCGGAGAGATTTTCCTCAAAAAGCCTGAAAATATCTGCACTAATTTACATGGAATCTGCTGTAGCCAGATGTGACGCACGAAGACAGTCAATGAATCTTAATTTCGCCGAATTCGCCGAATAAATTCGCTTCGAGCCGAATATATTCGCTGCGAATTTAACTTATAAAAAGGGTGTTTCTAGGCTTCAGAGAGCCTTTATATTAGTGCAGAACCCCCCCCACTGTACCTTTAAATTTAAATGCCCTTGGAGTCTGCTGGGGAAGAGAAATAATACTGTCAGTCAGTATGACATGCAGATGAGTGCCGTCGATCTTAGAATCACCGCACACTTCACTCATTTGGGCAGTCACGGGGCCAAAACCAGAGTGTGGAGCCACAGTGTGGCGGTGGAGGGCAGCAGCAATGGGAGGCCATACAGCACCCTATGACAAAATGGAACCCACCAGCAGTGTGAGGAGACCTGAAAGTGGCACATGGCAGAGTGTGGCGATGGAGACAGCAGCAATGGGAGGCCGTACAGGGACCCATGACACACTCTGGACCTGGCAGCAGCATGAGGAGGCGGTACAGGGGCCCATGACAGATTACGGGCCTGGCAGCAGCATGAGGAGTCGGTACGGGGGCCCATGGCAGATTACGGGCCTGGCAGCAGCATGAGGAGGCGGTACAGGGGCCCCATGGCAGAGTGGCGGAGCGTAAGCAGCTAAAATTGAAGGCCATACAGAGGCCTATGTTAAAAAGTCCCCCCAGCAGCAGCGTGGGGAGACGACTATCAAGAGTCCAATGGCAGAGTGGCGGAGCAGTAAGCAGCTTCAATTGAAGGCCATACACAGGCCTAGGTTTAAAAGTCCCTCACAGTTAATTCCCATAACGAACTCTACTCCTCAGTGCAATCTACTTACGAGACCCTGGGCAGGTCTGGGTCCAATTTGTGGTAGAGACTGGTTTTGTTCAGCCATGCTTGAGCGAGTAATAACAGGTCTGTGCTGCCCTTGGTGTCTGGCTTAATGCGCAACAACTGAACGTCCCAGCGTTTGTCAACGATTTGCCGTTAAGTGATGCAAACCCGCTGAAACACGTTCATGAGGAGCCGGTGGTACAGGGGGCCATGAATCAGTATGGACCTGGCAGCAGCGTGAGCAGACGACAGAGGCACATGGCGCAGGGTGGCGGTGTAGGCAGCATTATTCTGAAGCCCAATACACAGGCCTAGGTTAAAAAGCGGAAGCCGTCAGCCCCCCGTGAAGCGTGAGCAGACGAAGCAGTGGCACATGGCGCAGGGTGGCGGTGGAGCAGCAGTATTCGGAAGCCAAACACAGGCACTCGGTTTAAAATAGCGGAAGCCGTCAGCAGCAGTGTGAGGCAGACGACAGAGTGGCACATGGCAGGGTGGCGGGGATGGCAGCAGCAGCAATGGAAGAGCCATACAGGGACCCTATGACACAAAATGGAACCCACCAACAGTGTGAAGGAGACATCGAAAGTGGCACATGGCAGAGTGGGTGGCGGATGGAGACAGCAGCAATGGAAGGCCGTACAGGGACCCCTAGACACACTAAATGAAGTCCTGGCCGTCAGCAGCATGAGGAGGAGACGACAGGGGCCCATGGCAGAGTGGGGCGGTGCGTAAGCAGCTAAATTGAAGGCCATACACAGGCCTAGGTTAAAAAGTCCCCCCAGTCAGCAGTGTGGGGAGACGGGACTATCAAGAGTCCAATGGCTGAGTGGCGGATCCGGGGTGAAGTCAGCGTTGTGATTGCAGATGCAATGGCACAGAGATTCTATGAGGTGATGCCAGTGGGTGGGGCGAAGAAGACTATCAGCACCGTCGTACTTCCATGGCCAGAAGACGGAACAACCTGCGAACCAATGGGAGCTTTATTGCCCTGACCCGCTGAGCAGCTTCTGGGGATACCCAAGAGTTTTGGCTTCTGTGGGGAATATGGTTGAAAAACTGAAACTTAAAGGCATGCATGAGGAAAGGGCACCAGTGTCAGTGCTCCGGAGGGAATATAGCTTCAAAGCTGCACTTAAAGGTAGATCGACGGTCAGAGACCACAGGAAGTGGAGCTTGGTCTTTAAATCGACTGAATGTGGCAGACGTGAAACGTCTACGGGCCGTATATGAAACGGGTTGTTCCTCTTTCCTGGAATAGCAGTGTTGGAATATGGCCACTCTTTTTGGTTGTGGCGTTTTGTCTATTTAATTCCGATAACGGACTCAGTACTCCTCCGGTGCAATCTAGTTACGAGATACCCTGGGCTAGGTCTGGGTCCAGCATTGTGGTAGAGACTGGTTTTTTGTTCAGCCATGCTTGAGCGAGTAATAAACAGGTCTGTGCTGCCCTTTGGTGTCTGGCTTAATGCGCACAACACTGAACGTCCCAGCATTTGTCAACGATTTGCCGTTAAGTGATGCAAACCCGCTGAACCACGTTCATAGGAGGAGGCCGGTACAGGGGGCCATGAATCAGTATGGACCTGGCAGCAGTGTGAGGAGACCCCGAAAGTGGCACATGGCGCAGGGTGGCGGTGGAGGCAGCAGTATTCGGAAGCCATACACAGGACTAGTTAAAAAATTCGCCGTCAGCAGCGTGAGCAGACGACAGAGGCACATGGCGCAGGGTGGCGGTGGAGCAGGCAGCAGTATTCGGAAGCCATACACAGGCCTAGGTTTAAAAAGAGGGAACCAGCAGTATTCGTGAGCAGACGACAAAGTGCACATGGCAGAGGACTGGGATCTGGCAGCAGCAGTATGAGAAGGCGGTACAGGGGCCCGTGGCACAGTGTGGTGATGGGCCTGGCTACAGCAACTGGATGCCAGAAAAAGTGGCCAGATAGGGCTATATACTGCATGGAATTATATAAGTTGTGTAAAGACAGCGGCCTATAAGGCTATACACACACTATAACAATCATGACTTGATTGACCATTGGCCTATAAGGCTATACACAGCATGAATATCATGACTTATTCTGAGAGTGGTTTGGAAGGCTATATACAAAAAGTAATTCATGAGCTGTCCTGGACAGCGGACAATAAGAGTTACCGTATATTATACAAATCAATTCAATAGCTGTCAGCCAGCAGCGACAGTCAAAGGCGACACATATAGAAAGTGCAATTCATTGTTGTGCTGTTCAGACAGCAGCTCTCTAATGGCGAGCCGATATACAAAGCAATTCCCGAGGTGTTCAGGGAGCGGCCTGAGGCACGCTAGGTTATTACTAAAATAATATTTTTGTGGCCAAACATCGGCCTATAAATAGATGTCTACACAGTGACAAAAAAATTATGTCGCCAGGCAGCGGCCCCTAAGGCGACAGATATACAAAGCAATTCCCGAGGTGTTCAGTGAGCGGCTTGAACGGAACCCACGTAGATCAGGTTATTACTAAATAACGATCTTTCTGGCCAAACATCGGCCTAGGAAATAGATGTCTACACAGTGACAAAAAAGTGGAGGTCGCCTTACAGCGGCGTATCCTACAAATTGACATTATAAGAAATGGTTTAGACCAAAAAAAAAAAAAAAAAAACTTTGATGCGATGACTAAAGTACCTTAGTAGATTGTGGAAAGTCGACAAGTCAAGCGTAACTGTGTACATTACAGAAAATCTTAACAAGACAACCAAACATGTGGCCAAACCGTGACCGAAAGTACCGACAAGTTAACATGTAAGAAACAGGAGGGGCCAAACCGTGGCCAATAAATAAACAGTCCACCTCATTGATGAGATGGACAACACGTGTCAAATAAAATATTTAAAAAAATTGCTATGACAGCAGGGTGGCGGTGGAGGCAGGCAGTCCATCGGTCTGGAAACTGGTCGACTATAAAGCAATGGAAAAAGTTTAAAAAATGTGACAGTCGTCCAGCGACGTATAAATAATTTAAAAACACATGGGCAGATGAGGGGGCCCGACAGCAGCAGTATATGGGAGTCATTAAAAAAGGTTCAATTCATGAGATGTGACGGGACCTGGCAGCGAAGTATAAATAATTTAAAAAACCCCAATTCATGAGGGGCCCGACCTGCAGAGTATAAGTCATTAAAAATGTAAGCAAAACATGAGTCGGGGCCGACCAGCAGCCTCTCAATAAAATATATATACAAATGTACGGATCAGGTGGAGGTCTTCCATTTGTCCCTAATAACATGTTTGGGGCATGATTCATGGCGGATTTAGTCAGTTGTGTCAGGAACTGGTGGTTTGAAATCCAGACTAATCCACGCCTGATTCATTTTCACAAACGTGAGTCTCTCCACACTTTGGGTGGACAGTCGTGTCCTCCGCGGAGTTACAATACCTCCTGCCGCACTAAACACGCGCTCCGATGCCACGCTACTGGCCGGGCATGACAGCCTTTCAAGGGCAAATTCAGCTAGTTGGGGCCAAAGGTCAAGTTTCGTTGCCCAGTAGTCAAGGGGATTGTCTACCTCGGTTGGCAGGGTGCTGTCCAAGTAGGCCCAAGCCTGTTGTTTGAGGTCCTGCTCCAGGTCCACCTGATGCTGCTGCTGCTGCTGCTGCTGCTGCGGCTGGTTAGTAGTTTCCTCACTGCGCTGGTGAAGAAAGCTACTCATCATCGACTGCAGACTGAGGCAGCCGCTGCTGGTGGAGCTGCCACTGCTCCTACCACCCCACCCCTCCCCTGCTGCCATGGCAGCGGAACGCGAGCGCACAGGGCCCACAGTGTCTGAGGATGGACGTTGGCGCAGAAAGGCAGAGACCAACTGACTACATAGGTGGTTTTTATAGTACTTTATTTTGGCCTCCCTCTCAGCAGGTGTGAAAAAGGCCACCATTTTTGAACGGTAGCGAGGGTCCAACAAGGTGGACAGCCAAAAGTCATCCCTCTGTCTGATGGTTATTATTCGGCTGTCGCTACGCAAGCAACCGAGCATGCTATGGGCCATTTGTGCCAAGGAATGCGAGGGACTCCCTGCCTCCATCTCCACAGCATACTGCCACGGTGCGTCTGGGTCCTCTGTCTCCTCCTCCTCCTCCTCTACCAGATGCTCCTGCTCCTCCACTCCTGTCCGCTGAGTGGAAAAACCACCCATTTCACTCAATAATTCCTGAGCACCAATGTCCTCCTCTACCTCCTCCTCTTCTTCCTGTCCTGCCCCCACAGGGGTCATGTGGCGTTGAGATCTGTGCGCCACGTCTACCGCACCCTGACCAGCCATTGTTAACAGCATTTGTTCCAGGACGTGCAACAGAGGAATGACGTCGTTCATCCCATAGTCCTGCCGACTCACGAATAGCGTGGCTCCCTCAAAGGGCCTGAGCAAGCGGCAGGTGTCACGCATGAGCTGCCAATGGCTGACATCTAAGTTACACAGGGGAGTACCTTTATCCGCTTGTAACATCAGGAAATCGGTGATGGCCTTTCGCTGTTCGTAAAGGCGGTCTAACATATGTAGGGTTGAATTCCACCTTGTTGCAACGTCGCAGATCAGGCGATGCTGTGGAATTCCGTTCTGCCGCTGCAGCTCAAGGAGGGTGTGCTTTGCGGTGTAGGAATGGCTGAAATGCATGCAAAGTTTACGTGACATTTTAAGGATGTCTTGCAGTGGGATGGTGGATTTTAGGAACCGCTTGACAACCAGATTGAACACGTGAGCCATGCATGGCGCATGGCACAACCTTCCTTGACGCAGAGCAGACACCATGTTCTTTCCGTTGTCGGTCAACATGGTTCCGATTTTCAGTTTGCGCGGAGACAGCCATCTGTCGATTTCTCTGTTCATTACACTCAGAAGTTCCTCCCCTGTGTGACTACGTTCGCCAAGGCATACCAGGTGCAGCACAGCGTGACACCGTTGCGCCCTGCACATGTGATATGCCGGTCGGGTAATGGGACTTGGCACGGGGGTGGCGGCTGAGGACACGGCGGAAGAAGAGGTGGTAGAGGCGGACATCTTTGCTGGACCAAGGACGTGCAAACGTGGAGGCAAAAGCGGCGTGACCTGTCCAAGTTGCTGGTGCGGCTGTGCCGGCACCACGTTCACCCAGTGGGCCGTAAATGACATGTACTGTCCCTGACCGTAGTTACAGCTCCACACGTCGGCGCTGCCGTGCACTTTGGCAGAGACCGACATGCTCAAAGACTGGCCCACCATCTCTTCTACATGTGAATGCAGGGCTGGCACTGCCTTTTTGGCGAAGAAATGCCGGCTTGGCACTCTCCACCGCGGCTCGGCACAAGCCATCATTTCTCGGAAAGGTGCTGAGTCCACCACTTGGAAAGGGAGGGACTGCAGCACCAGCAACTTGGACAGGAGGACGTTCAGCTTCTGCACCGTCGGGTGCGTGCTCGCAACTGTTGTCTCTTGGAAACGGATTCCAAGAAAGACTGCTGACGGAATCCGTGAAGAGGAGTAGCAGGAGAAGGAGCATCTGAACGAGCGGAAGATGCCAACGAGCGACAACTCCCCTCAGCAGAGGTGTTGGAGCCTTGACTGGCTGATAGAGGGCGATTGACGTCGGGTGACGGAGCAAGTAACGGAGCGGGTGATGGAGCGGGGGCTGGGGCAGGCAGAACCGCCGTATCTTTATCACGGTTTTTCCCAGGCCACCGAATGGCGACGCTGCATATGCTGACGCAACGCTGTTAGTCCCAACATGGGCCCCCTGGCCACGCTTGACTTTTCTGGCCACATAGTCGACATACGGCTACGTTTACTTCCTCGGGCGGCTTGACGAAAAATTGCCACACCGCCGAGTAGGAAACTTTGCCCCCGCTACTCCTCACTGGGATCTGCAAGTGGAGCTGGTGCTCTACTCCGTGGCGTTTGCCTCCACTGACACTGCTGCGACCCTGCTGCCTCCTGGGCAACCCACCGACTGTTTTGCTCGCTGCCAAGCTCGGCACCCTCTTCTCCTGATGATGCGGCAAAGCACCTCACTGCCTGATGCTGGACGAGGGCTGCCAATGTGCGATCCCTCATCATCCCCCCTCAACCCCTAGGGTCTCCGCCTCCACTACTACGCCCCTCAGCTGCGTGTGGGTCAGAGACAGACCTGATCTCGTAGACGGCTCCCGAGCCACTCTCCTCAGCCTTTTACTTCTTCGCCTGCTGCTGAAGAGGCGGATGTCTCCCCCCCCTTCCTGACCGCCCTTCTGTTAGCTCTTCCTCACTGTAACAGTGGGGGCTGAGCACACAGCATGCGATACTTCGCTTGGTGAGGGAACACCAAAGGACTGGTGCAGGTCCGCGAAGGACACGTGATTTCAGTGGCTTGCTCCCGGGGCCATGCCAACTATAACGGTTGTTTATGTCTGACGTACACAACGACCGTTGGCTGGTTACGGTGTCAGAGGTGAAATGGGAAGAGGATGTACGACCGGAGTCAACCAATCGATGACGGCAGGGTTGTCGGTGGAGTGGTGTACCACGACCGACTGGATGCACCGGGAGCACTGCCTCTAGCTGCGATAGTGCTGCCTCGACCCCTTCCTCTGCTGCCAACGTTGCTCGCTCCTGAAACATTGCCTCTCCTCTGCCACTCCTCGGCGTGTTGTCTGAACATACTCTTTAATTCCAATAAGCTCACCCAAAAATAATACCGGATTTACTCTTTGAAGTACATTAGTGGTTGTGAAGCCACGAAAGTCTAGTTTATTTAGCTCAAATCGGTTTCAATTGCAGCTTGCGTTGGCTCTGGAAATCTGTACGTTTTTGTAACTGGAATGCACTAATCACCCCAAAAAAA